GCGAGTCGGCTGTCCGATGAATTAAATTTCGGGGGATTTTCCCATGATCCACCTGGTGTGCGAGTCATTCCGGGCAGTTGGGATCCCATCGGAAGCGGAGCCCACAAAGTACGATCAGATTTGCTTTCGCTCGTGGAATGCGGAGATCATGCCGAGGTGGGGGCTATGCCTACCTCCCTCAAAAAACATACACGCTCGTGAGTTTGCAAGTTGTATTCGAGCCCCTCCCAGTTTGCTTGTTGAACCCATCAGTTGTCTCATGGTCGGTGCTTTTCTTTCCGGGGAGCAAGACCCTGGCGCCTTTGCGTGGCCCTTTCATGGACCTTTGACATTTTGGATTTCAGGGTACACTTGACAAGTGGACCTTTGATTCTTAACTATGTGCGGCACGGCCAAAGTCTGTACCTGGCGTATGGTTATCAAGCCTTTCATCGGTTTTGCAGGCAACCAATGTACGGGATCCTTTGAAACACAACCGGACCATGACCCGCAGAATAAGTATTGACGCCTTTGGGATATGTACAACCTGGGATGCCTTGACTTGGGGTTGGTAGGGATTGTCATGAACCTTTTGATCGGGGTTTCTGGTCCTCCGATGTCAAGGTTCCTCCGGTTTGGTCCTTTCGCGCCGAGGTGGGGGGCGTTTGCGGCTGGAGCTGCGGCTCCAGCCACCCCCCGGAGAATCTGCCCGGCTGCAATGCGCAGGGCCGGATCGAGGCCCGCGCTTCGGGCGCGAAGCGTGGAAAGTTTCCGGGCAGACCGTTTTTTGTTTCCGAGACCCCGCTTCCATGTTGGGAGGGTGGGTAGGGTTGGTCAATTTGGGAGGGGCATAGGGTGATGAGCCCGAATTTCTCAGCAAAAGCAGCAAGATGAGGCCTCATTCCTTATTTCCTTTTCAAGAGCCGCGTATGACCGTGGCTCAGTCGGGGCCATCTCGATGGGAGAAACCGCCCAGAGTTCCAAGCTGAGTCCACTGAACCAGGGGTCAGACTGCTCCCAATGTAGGTCACAGAACTTGCCAGAGAAGTGGATCGGAACAGGAGAGGGCTTTGGTAGGTTTGAGGTAGGGATGCGAACCCGTGCCCAAGCCGCCGATTTGGGTATGGCCCTGTCAGACATATCCGACTCAGTCTCTTCGAAAGGCAGATGATCTTTCAGGGAGCCTCGTTCAAGTTCCATGTTTTGAGGTGCTTGTGTTGGCGCTGGTTTTTGGAGTGCTGACCATGCGCCTTTGCCTACCTGAGAGGCGCTGCCCGGACTCGGATAGGTTCTCAAGAAGGCTCCCTTTTATGACTCAGGTGTCATTTTGTCCCCCCTGTTCAAGGGAGTCCCAAGAGAGCCTCGAGTTTTCTCTTCTCCTGCGCCCTAGTCAACATGGGCATATGTGAAAAGAGGGTTACTTTTTCATGTTTTTCCAATAGCGGCTTTCGTTTTCCTCTTTCCCTAAGACACTCCAACCAACGTACGTGCCAAACACACGACGCGCCAAGCCCCGGTGGTCCGAGGTCACGAAGACCTCCCTGGCCGGGCGCAGCTTCTCGCAGGCCAACTTCGAGGGCCAGGCACCACCCCGTGCAACGCGGACGCCGAAACGAGCACCGGGTGGCCGGAAGCCAACAGCGCGGGCCATGTGTCGGGTCCCACTATCCGATTTTTTTGGGGAAAATTCCGCTTTGTCTCTTGGAAAGAATCGAGCGGAGATTTGTTTGCAGAAGGGGGAGGCCCGATTTCTCTTGAACAAACACGTGGAGAATTGAGAGTGCGACTGATCTCACAAGGGGATTGCGACTGAGGTCACCCGCAAAGGTCCGTTTGTAATTTTCGGGTGAATAATTCATTCAGAAGCTCAAGGAGGAAGGGATGGGGAGCTTTGGTTTGGCATGCTGAGTTTTTTTTTTTGGATGGATCAGGGCCATGCAGGGGGTTGGGGAAATGCTCGTTTTTGTTCCCGCATTGGCAGAAGGTGTGCCGTCCTTGAGGCAGGAAACCTGTTTTGGAGATGCAAGCTCACTCCCAGCGACACTGCATTGTTCTTTGGCTCTTTGAACAGTGCGTATTCTTCTGCTGTGTCATGGGTGGTGGGTGCTGTCTTTGGAATGGCTAATGGAACTGAGTTTAGGCATCGCGAGTAGCAGGATTCCCAGCTGGGGTTTGTCGCTTTGTGCTGCAAGAGAACGAAGCATCCTTCATGGCCTGAAGCAATCCTGTTGCCCTTTTCCTTCCGCCATGGGGACTGCCTCCGCAGGTCACAATGAAGCAATGCCCAGAGGCAGGGCATTGCGACAGATCTGGCTGTGCGGACCCGGATGCGTGGGTCGTCCCAAAGCTCATGTTTGCTTGTTTTTGATGTTGAAGCCTAGCTGAGTGGGTCTTCTCCAAATGAAGATTCAACTTGACATACAAAGCCACTGGCCCTTCTCTGGAGTCCAGCGTCTATGGCAGCGCTTTTGGGCGCTCAGTGCTTGACAAGTTAGGTGGACGAGACTGGAGAGTGCCTCACGAAAGAGGACTCATTCCCCAACTGGAAGTGCCTGGCCCTTAGACGTGCGGTCAAGAGAGGCATGCAAATGATTCGGCTGTACATCAAATCTTTGGCCTGGCTGCACAGGGCCATCAGCCGTCAGCGGAGTTTTTTGCCCACGGCGCAGTTTGTAAAGGCGGTTTCGGGCAAACGCTCGCAGCTTTGTGACCAAGCGAGGCCACAACTGCAAGTACAATCCCAACGAGATCGAAGAGGACAGGGTGGCTGCGGCGCTTGAAACGCATAGGGAACAAGAGGCCTTTTCAAGCGGATGGTAGCCTTTTAAACAATCGTCCACTTCCACGATTGGAAAGAGGTGCACCATCCATTTTAGAACCTATTGTAGTGGGGATTGGTTGATGTTCACTGGGGGCTAACCGGGATTTTGACACATGGCCAAATGGGAATGTGTTAAAACATAGGGGGACTCCAAACAATGGCGGTTTTCCACCCCCCATTTTTTAAGGGTCATGGAGACTCCAGGTTCCCATTTTTTTTGCTTTTTGGGAGGACTCCTTCCGCCGCCTGCAGATCCCCGGCATCGGTGGCATCCCGGGCTTCGCGGGCATCCCTGGCATCGGCGGCGGGGGCATCCCTGGCATCGGCGGGGGCGCTGACGCTGATGCAGGTGCAGGTGGCATCGACGGCCTCTTCCCAGGAGATCCGGCAATGTTTTGGGGTGGGCAGAATTTCAATGTTTTCGTTTGTTTTTTGAGCGGAACTTGTACTGTCAGTGCCGCCAGGCTCTGCGCAAGAAATCTTTTTTTTGGGAGGGTGCATCGCGTAGGCATTCGTAGGCGCATTTTGATAAGATAGGCCCGCGTGGACGTGATTCCACATTTGCAGAGGCACCCATGGTACCGCTTGAAGGGGAGCCAAAAGGAGGTTCTTCAAACAGGAGGTGTTCAGTTCAAACAAGGGCTAGCTCAACCCACAATTTGATATGACTTGCTTTTTTGCAGAGCAAATAAGTGAAAATGGGAGTTGAAATGAATTGAAAGGAAAGGGGAGATCGACAGCAAGCCCCTGTTATGCGAAATGGCTCCAGAGGATTTCCATGATTGGAGCACAGGTAGGTTTGGCTCTGGAGCAATGCTAGGTTGCTTTGGGTGCTCGTATTCCGAAGGAAAACGCTTGTGGAGTCGCTTGGGTCCTGATTGGAAACCGCACGCACGCACGCGCGCGCACTCACCGGCCTTGCCCCTGCGGCGCCAACTGACGCTGCGCCGCCTGCATGCGCAGCGCCTGCGATGCGCATACCTTGTATACGCACCTACAACCAGCGCCAAGCGCCGCAGCGCGCAGCGGCCTTGTCAGCGTCTTGCGTAGCTCCAGCGCACTACGCCCGCGCTGCGTGCGTGCTGCGCTGCGCTGCGCTGCAGCGGGTGGCCGGCGGCGCGCAGCGCGCGGCATAGCATGCCCCATGGCATACCGCTGCGCCTGCGCCTGCGCCTGCGCATACGCTGCAGCGCGCACGCACCGCGCACACCGAAAAAAACAGCAGCGGCCACGATTGATCGGCCGCCCCTGCGCTTTGCGCTTTGCGCTTTGCGCGCAGCGCGCGGCGCGCAGCATACTGGCGCTGTTTACTGCCAGCGGCGCGCAGCATGCGTGAGCGCGCTTTTGCGCGCACACCGCGGCATTGCCTGCAGCACGCAGCGCCTGCGCTTTTACACAGACACTGAACACACAGACACACGAACACACAGACACACAGACACACAGACACACAGACACACAGACCCACGGACACACGGACACACGGACACACGGACACACGGACACACGGACCTGCACGGACACACGGACGCACGGACACGCGGACGCACACACACACACACACACACACACACACACACACACACACACACACACACACACACACACACACACACACACACACACACACACACACACACACACACACACACACACACACACACACACACACACACACACACACACACACACACACACACACACACACACAGCAAGCCGACATGAATGTCCGGCAGATGTTTTAGGGAGCTTCCTGACCAAAGTATACCTTTATACATGTATATGTACATGCATACTTGCCTTACGCAGCATACGCTGCTTGTATATATGCCTTAACATCCCATGTATACTTATGTATGCCTGCCTTAACATGTATGCTGTATGTATATAACTATGCATATGCCTTAACATACTTATAATACTTATATATGTATATATGTATATATGTATACTTGTACATATAACATGTAACATGTATATATGCATGCTGCCTTCAACATATACATACTTATACATGCGCCATGCTAACATATATGCACATACTTGTGTATGCTTTGCCCATCTTATGTAGCATATGTATATATGTATACATGTATACCTATCTTATGTGTGTGTATGCTCCCATGCGTCCCATGTATCCATGTATCCCATGCGTGCATGCAGCCATGTGTCGCAACGACCCGCCAACGCCCTTACGTTCATGCGCCCGCGCGCCCGCCACGCCCGCTGCGTCCCGCTAGCCATGCAGCCACGCCGTCCCACGCCGCCATAAGCCCCGCACCCGCACCCGCACCCCGCACCCGCACCCGCACCAGCACCCCACCCCACCCACACCCCACCACCCCCGCCTCCTCCAGGCGCTGGCGGCACACTGCCAGCTGCTGGCCCTTCGCTGCCTTCCCTGCCTTTGCCTGCCTTTGCCTTCCCCCTGCCTTCCTGCCTTTGCCCTTTCCGCCCCCTGCACTTACACACTTTATGCCCCTTTACGCTGCCCACTTTACCTTACTGCGCCTGCTGCCCTTTGCCTTTGCCTTTGCGCACTGGCCTTTACCTTTGCCTTTACCTTTGCCACACCACACCCACCACACCCACCCACACCACACCACCCACACCCACACCACACCCACCCACACCACACCACCACACACCCACCACACCCACACCCACACCCACCATGCAACCTGCATGCATGCACGCACAGCATCTGCCTCTGTAACCTGCCTTTATCTTTCTTACTCTTATATATACTCTGTTATACACCTCTTGTATACTGTATCATAACATACAACACCTGTATACCAACATATAAGCATCACATCATGTACTTTTTTATTCCAGGGCGGGGTGTGTTACTCTGCATATATACATATACATACATACATACATACATACGCCCATACATACATAGCACGCGCACGCGCACGCATGCTAGCGCCTGCAACACTGCAACATACCAAGCATCACGCGCACGCTGCCCAGCCTGCCTCTGTATACCAACATAGCAGCATGCGCCACCCCGCACCCGCACCCGCACCACACCCGCACCCGCACCCGCACCCGCACCCGCTGCACCCACACCCACACCACACACACACACACACACACACACACACACACACACACACACACACACACACACACACACACACACACACACACACACACACACACACACACACACACACACACACACACACACACACACACACACACACACACACACACACACACACACACACACACACACACACACACACACACACACACACACACACACACACACACACACACACACACACACACACACACACACACACACACACACACACACACACACACACACACACACACACACACACACACACACACACACACACACACACACACGCTCTCTCTCTCTCTCTCTCTCTCTCTCTCTCTCTCTCTCTCTTGCAATCATAGGACCATGTCAATTCCGAAGAGGCTCCGACAAATGTAAACCTGAGCAAAGCGCCAGCAAGTCATATCCTTTTGGCATTTGATTGGTTTCGTTTGCTTAAGACCTACACGCACTCAGCGAATCCAGCAGGATCGGGCGGCGAGGATGCGGAGAGCTCCTTTATTTACGCTTCCCTGCCAGATGCTCAGACGCTCATTGCTGAAGGGGTCATCAGCCTTCACACAGCGGGGTTGGACAGTTGGGTGGAAATCCCCGTTTCTTTTTCGTTGCTGAACTTCACCCTAAGAGCAATGCCAAGAGCGCAGAGTCGTGACTTGACCATCTCCCAGTGCCAGGCATTGACAAGGTGAGGCCGTGGCAAAGGCTGAGCCAGCGATTTCAGTGATGCTACTGGCAGTCTGTCTATCATTGTTTTCCAATTGCGTCCCTCATTTGCCTACCATGGATAGGAACCACTGGCTTACATCCCTTGCAAGAGCCAAAGCTCGGTCTCAACGTCGTCGCTTCATCAAATCCCGACATGCCGAGGCCCAGATTTCAGGTCAGCGTGCGAGGGCTAGGCGGGGAGTCAAGTAAAACGCCCCAAGAAGAGAATGGCTCTGCAATGTCCCCAGCGACTACCTCCGAGGCAACAACGACAGGTAAGATAGGTTACCTCTAGGTTTTTACCTGAAGGTTTCCCAGGTCCACTGTGCTGGAAAACTTGAATCCGAACGACAGGGTACGGAAATCCTTACGTTTGGGGGTGAGGACACTTCTGGTTGCGAAAGAGAAGGATCCTTTCCACAAAAATGTCCACCCGAACTTGGAAACAAGATTCATTCCCGCAATCTTGGTGAGGAATACCCCATACTTCGTCCATTTGGTTCGCCAGCAATGCCTGGGGAAACTGCGCGCCGTGTTTCGACCAGGTCAGCCCGTGGGTGACAGCTTCCTCTCTCAGCCCACAGTGGTAATTTTTGAATCTTCCGTGCCTGAGCTGCAGCAGGTCGCTCCATGGAACGATGTGCCCTTTGGGAGTAAAGGCATCTGCAAATCCATGCAGTGAGATGACCTCAAGGACTTGGGGGTTGGAGTTACCAGAAGCAGACCAAACCTTCTTAAGTCTAAGCCTAGATCACTGCAGAAGCTGAATCCTTTACAGAAGGCTGTCACAAGGAAGAGCTTCTGTCGGGGGGGGGGAGAAGTGTTGTGCTCGTGAAACTTCTTGTGCTGTTTCCGGCGGCTGCTCTGACAGGAGTCCTGCGCTTCAAATAGGTGGGACATTTCAAAGAATTATGCGGAGCATTGTATATACATATAAACACGCACACACACGACCATTTCATCCATCCATCCATCCATCCATGCAATCCATGCATGCATGCATGCATGCATGCATGCATGGATAAAGAACATAAGTACATATGTACATACGTATGTACGGACGTACGTACGTACATACATACATTCATGTTCACGCATCTCATACACCTCATACACCTCATACACCTCATACACCTCATACATCTACTACATTGGATACATCTCATACAGCTCATACTGCTGATGCATCTAATACATCTCATGCATCTCACACAACTCACCCATCTTATGCAGTCATTTTTTTCAGGTAATTTTGCATTTTTTGGCCAAACTTGGGCGCGAAGGAAGGGGTGTGTGCCACAATTCTACAATTTAAGAATTCTGGACCCACGATTTCTGGGAGACGTTCAATGTGACAATCTGGAATTCAAGATTCAAGACTTCAAAACAATCTTTTCTGGAATCCTGGAATATTGAATCTGGTGTCTTTTTTTTAAACATAAATGTGGGGTTCAAGATTCAAGATTCCCAGAAAAATTTAATTTTGAAATCTTGAATCTTGAATCCCATTTTTTTTAAAGAAAAGTCCAGGTTTGTCCCAATACTCTCGGTGTTCAACAAGATTATCGGAAAAAGCTTTCCGTGAAATATTTCAATCTTGAATCTTCAACCAATCCAGTGGTAAATACGTTCGACGTTTTAGAGCAACTTGATCATTTTCAGGGTTTTGAACAGGATGGATGATTCTTAGGAAAGTTGTTGTTTGTGCAATCCTCGATATTGAATCCTCAATCCAGTGGTAAAGCACTTTCAAGTGTGAGAAGAACTTGAATGTTGTTTTGGTTTGGCCAGGATTGACAATTCTCAGGAAAGTGTTCTGTGTAATCTCCAATCTTGAAATTTTTTTATCCAGTGGTAAATACTTTCAAGTGCTTAGCGATCCAGTGGACACACTTTCAAGTTATTAGTTAGACACACTTGCAAGTGCTTTTGGTGAGCGGTTTGCTTCATGTTAGCTATGAAGCATGTTGACCCTTTTCCAGGAGATAAAGAAAGGTAGGTGTAATGCTCAAAAACCCTGTATTTTACAGTATTTTATGAAGAGGCGCAGGATCATTAGGGGGTACTATATATGTGTGTATGTATGTACATATGTTGATATATATATATATATACACATATGTATATATATATATATGTATGTATATTCACACACCGTCACCACCCCCTCTTGAACTACCTCTCCACATTTGCTCATCTACTACCTCCGCCTTTTGAGATAGAACTAATTTTAAATGTTGTCCTGTGCAAATAGAACTTTAAATACAACTGATTCAGCTAGAATCCCTGTTTCGAAATAGATTTAGAATTTGAACCTCTCTTCCCTTGAAATTTCCTTTTGGAACGCCGTCTAACAAGTTTAATTTCGGACCTTTCTTATGCTGCAAAAGGGCCAAGAGATAAATACCACAGATCGTATTTCGAATTTCCTTGTAGAAGTCCCTTAAATGTTTAGCCATATTTAATACGAACTAAATTTGAGAAGTAGTCTCTATTTAATTGTTATTATGAAAAGCTAATTGAGTTGTGTTCGTATTAGATTATATCTAACACTTAGATTAATTTGGGAATCCACTCCTAACTTCTTTTGTTGAAGATTAGTTGGAGTTTGCCCGAAACTATACTTATATTCTCATGTAGCTCCTATTTGGAAAGGATTTGCTTAGAAAGCTGTAGTTGAGCAATGTTGAGCATAAACACATTTTTGAAAACTATATCCTAACCAAATTTTATTCAACATTTCAATTCTAGTTGAAGTAAAATCCAATTTGGAAAGGGTATCATATTGGCACATTTCGGATCTTGCCATGATGGACTGCACGCCCATTCGTCTGTGCTCAAATCTATTGCAAACAATCTAAACTCTACAGCCCGCGCGCTGAAATCAACAAAAAACCTAGGCGCCAGGGGGGGGGGGGCGTTGCACATATATATATATATATGTATAGATTGATGCGCACCTATTGAGACACACCATGGACGCACGCAAGTCTATACACATATATATATATATATATATATATATGGATCTGAGTGCACATACACCATGCCCTCGGTGTACACATGCAATCACCTGACATGATCAGCCTAGCAAATCGTTTGCTGTTCATGAATCAATGAAATCCAGTCGGACATCTTTTTGTAGATCAGTTTGCAGTTGGTTGGTCGAATGCACTCTTAGCTTCCCTTGCGGATAGCTACGCGTCACAGTCTACCCTCCACCCAGCCACTGCGCAGTTCAGGCCCTCAATAGAACATGCAATCTATGTACTCTGAAGTAAGCATCGCTGCTGAAACCCAAGGTAAGCCTGCGGGTATTTGATCTAGTCTTATTCAAGATCCTGACGGCAACCGCCTTTTTCCAAATCCAGGGCTTGGAGAAAGTAACCAGAGACCCAGTTTTGGAGCTCCCATCTTTTGGGAGCGGCGGTGAAGAATCCTCTGAGGAGCAGACCCCCGGCAAGTGGCAGCACCTGTACAAGACCTACGTGAAGACCCGTCCCCCGGAGCCTGTGGACGCTGCAGGGGATCCCATAGACCAAGGCCGGCTTCGAAGGCTTAGGCATCGTCGACTTTGTCGAAAAAATCACTACATTTCAATTGGAACATCATGGATCCAACCGACAAAGTATCATCCAACAATGTCTAAAACGTGGTTGTTTAAACCATAGCAGCGAAATATGGGCTCGTCTCAACACTGTGGGAGATCGTTTGGCTTCCCTTTCAACGCCAACCCAAGGGGGTTTGCCAACAGCAAAGTAAAGATCCAGCATATGCTTGGAGGCTAGCAAGGTATTCGCAAACACGGGTTGGTTGTAGTTGAGCTTTTCCTTGAATCACGTGTTGCACAAGGCAAACCGTGGTTCAATAATATTCTTGAGGCTTCAACACAGACACACACGTGTTTGCCAACCGCACCTTTTCCTGGCACTTTGTCCAAAGCAACGCCGTTGGGTAGGTTTCCACCGCAGCCAATCAAGAGGGATCGAGGGCGGGCGCTCGGCCGAAGAGCTGTGGCTTGGATCGTGAGCTGGCCCCCACGCAAGGGCATAGGCAGGAAGCCCGGCCACCATCCAGAAAACGAGCCAGAGGCTTTGAGGCCCTTTCCAAACACTGGGGCTTTGGTGCTGGCATGCTAGTAGCATTTGAGCCTCGACTGAGAGCCGCTTGAGTCAGGTCTTGTTCAAAGCACGGGGGCTGCTGGCGGCAAGACCTGAAATCAATCGTAGATACGACCCGATCTTTCAACTCCCTTTTTTTATATGTGAGCACATTTCCAACTTATTTCCAGCCCTCCAAACGATAGGTTTCCTTAAACCACCCTCAAAAAACACCCATGGGACCTCCCACCAGCGCTTCGTTTGTTTCGCCGCCACTTTTCGGCCAGCTGAAGCCGAAGAAGAGTTCGACGACGAGCAGATTGGGCCCACCATCGGGGACTTCACCCGGTATCGCATGCATTTCCAGGAGCAGAACAGGCGCGGCCCTATTGATCCGGTCAATCATCCAGAAAGAGTCTCATGAATGTTGTGGTCCCTTGGGTTGGGAGAGTCCCCGCATTGCTCGGCCGAATTCAGGCAATGACATGTGGCACGCTGAGTTTCTCTATGGGCGTAACGCGTTGCGAGGCTGACGCTGGATCCTACGTGGTGCTTCGGAAAGCAGGGGCCCCTCTACCTCGTGGCTTGTGCCGTGAATGGTTCTATGTACCGCGACCAGGCCTGCTGGCTTAGGGCCTGTGCCCGGGTGGCTCTGGAAATGGAAACCAAGATGAAACGAGAAGAGCCATGTGGAGGGATCTCTCCAAAGTTTGCCACGTTCCCGTAGTGTTCGGCCAAGAACACATACGTTTTGTCGGTTTGTCGGGGTGTGATCGACTTCCCTGGACCATTTCAGCAGAATCTCCAACCGAGGCACCCCTGAGGTATCCTTGCAACGCCCCTGGAGGCTGACAAAAGGGGCACCTGATTGGCGGGAGGGGGTTATCTGAATGTTCATGGCTGGAACAACTCCGCGCGCATGTTCCAAGGTTTCTATGGGCAAACCGGAAGTTTCAAGAGGCATCCGACTATATCTCCCTGTTAGGTGATTTTGAACATTATTTGTTGGGCGAACTTTTAAAAAGTCTGCTTTGGATGGGTGATGTTTCGAGGCGGGAAAACACCCTGTTCTACGTATGAGAACAGGACATGCGCACACACACACACACTGATGGCTCATTACAGGGTGGCCTGCGTTTGTTGCAAGGAAGGCGTTTGGCCTTTCGCCTTTCGAAGCTTACAGAGGCCAGGCTCATCAACCTTTCTTCCAGGCAACACTTTGGAGGAGCAGAGAATCCTAGATGTTTCCACAAAGCAGTGTCAAAACCTCAATCAATTGTTGAAAGCGAAGACGGAGGCGCCAGCTTCAAGAACAATCCAACCCTAAATGAGGGTGGGGATCAATCAGGTCAACCAAGCAAGTGCCCCCCCTCCCCCCGCACATCTGACAATAGAAACTGGGGGGCAACCAAAACTGCTGCCCTCAGCCTCATACCTTATGTTTGGTCAATCCCCTCATACAAATGAAACTCAAGAAACCATGGATTTATGCTTTCATGTGGAAAGCTAGATTGCTCAACCCCCACCTACCCTGGATTCAACAACATATGTGGCCCAACAAATGGTGAACGCCCAATGTTTTTGCAATGCAAGCCTTTTTAGCGTTTGATGATACTCCAAGCCCTAACCAAAAGAGGGTTGCTGACCCAGCCACCTGCAGCTCGGGTAAGCATATCAGTCTATGGTCTATTTGGGAGCGACCCACCAACTTTCCCATGTTCTTCGGTGTCATGGCACGTTAGGACTTCAAAGGCTTCGTGGCGGGACAGAAGGCGGCGCCCCCGCCCTTCAATGCCGGGATGCCGAACAAGAAGGGGGAAGGGGGCGGGAGCGGCAAGGGGCCGTTTTGCAGCCAAACACTCTTCAAATTCAATAGGCAAAAACCCAAGCGGTTGCAGCATTTCTGTGGGGCACCTCGGATTGCGGGGTGGGGGGTTGGGATGGCTTTTTGCATCAAGAAATCCTAGCAAGCCACTTGTCTACAGGAGATGACCTGGGTTTGACACACCCATGGCCAGTGGATTGAGACATGTCTCAACATTTGCAAAGCTTGCAGGTGATTCGTGTCATGTTGGGTTCTCATTGAAGGCAACTCTAAACGGGCTATGACAGCAAGCACCATGGCACCTGTCATTCGCAATCCGGGATCATATTCCCCCGAAATATGGCAACAGAGCGCAGCAACCCGAACCATGGTTTGCGGTTGCTTTACTGGCTATTTAAGGAGTGCGTACCTGTCCGGAGCACATGCGCTTTTCTCGTGCCTGCAGACGGAGACAAATTGCCGAGGATCGGTGCCTGGAAGTGTCCGGGCGATGTGCCCATGCGTGCCTGGTCGATCAGCCGCCTGGTGCGATTTGGCAGATTTTTACGCAACGTGTGGGCACGTGTCAAAAAATTGCGGGGCCCATCGAAGCGGTCGTCATTTTGGTGTTTGTTTTGTTGGAGCCCAACATGGGCTGTTTGGACACATACCCGTGTGTCACATCCTTTCCTGGTCTGAAAGGATTTCGATCGGCTGCGGCCACCAAGCGCTGGCTTTTCAAGCGGGGCGTAATGGGGCATTGGGTCAATCGGTAGGCCGCCCATGTCAAATTGCAGCAGCGACGGGACCATCCTGCAGTCCACCTTGGTGGGACCAGTTCAGGCAAGTCCTGACGCCCGCGCCGATCGAGGGGAGGGGGTTTGCCTTGCAATCTTTTTTTTCTCCGAAAAGCAACCAAAAGGGGATGATAATTCCCATGGAAGACACCCAGAGATGCGAATGGAACCCGGACCTGGCAGATGTACAAACCGTCTAGAAGTCTGTCTATAGCCAAGCTTGGTAGGATCAAAAAGTGAGGGCGGGCAAAGGATCCTGCACGTGAAAAACCGAAGTGGGAGGAGCAGACTAGTTACAAGGCCCATGGTGTCCACATTGATGAAGCAGCTGCGATTTGGACCCTTTTGAAAGAGAAGAGAGCCAATCTGGAAGAAACCATTTGGAGGGGTCTAGCTGGCTTTGACGCGTCAACTCACGTCAGGCAAATTAATGTGGCACCATTTGAATTGCCCTTTTGAGTTGGAATAGAACAGATCACTGAAGTGCATGCCTTGCCGTTTGTTGCCACTTGAGTGTTTCCTTTTTGTTGGATTTTTTGCCTGAAGTTTTCAAAGGGAAGCCAAAAGGATCAAACAAAGGGCTCCACGAACATGAGGTTTTTTGATTCTTTTTGTACCCCACAACCCCATGATTTCTATTTTGAATTCAGCCCAACTCCCGGGGTGCTCACGGCTCGCAAGCTCTTTTTGCTCTTTTTGCATGTCTTTGGCAGGGAAATCGTTGGGTTTCGAGACGCAGCCGAAAAGCCAAGAGAAGTGCTTCTGTTACCGTTGCCTTGAATCAAGAGATCCCACAGCAAGGAGAACTGTCCGCTGCAAGGTAGCTGCTCTTTGCTTCAAAAAAAATGGAAACGCAGCTGGCTCGGAGGATTCGGGGCGGGGAAACCGACCTGTGCCCAGTGGGAGACCAACGACTCCATGGCTGTGAGGATCCTGTGTGCCCTCCCCAGCTTTTCCTGGCAACAGTCCTTGCCTGGCCATTTGGCCCCGTCGCGAGCAAAGCGAAGAGATAGTTGGCACCTGCCGGTGGTTATGTTTCGCAAGAGCATGCTTGCTTGAACATGACTCATAGAAGGTTATTTTCCCTATTCGCTTCGCGCTGAGCGACATTTCCCGTCTTTGACTTAGTGAGCCTGCACAGCCAAGGCTACATGCTCATCCTCTGCTTCTCCCTCAAGGCTGCATTCATTTGGTGGAGTAGTGAGGGATTTGGCAACAATTGAACAAGCAACCAGTCCGCTTCAAAAGCAAACCATAAGGTGGTTGTTTCAACAACAGCAGCTTTTTGATGTTGGCACCCCTTTTGGCTGGCTTTCTACAAGGACCAAGAAAGCTTGGAAGGGTGCCCAATATTGACCTGTAGAGTGGGCCAAGTTGCAGGTAGTGCTTCTCTGCCCCGGTATCTTCAGCGGCTACGCCCACTACCGAAGGCCTTGGGTTGGTTGGGTGGGGGCAGATGGGTGCACGCAGTGAAGAGTGATCATGAAGGTGGCAAATAAACGCCAGCTATCCCACCATGGGGTATAGCACAAGGACAGAAGCATCCCAATTTCAGAGGTTTCTCGCCAACGCCAACTGGAGCTTCATCCCCAATGACACGGGGTGTACTGATCTTCCGAAGTGCACATGACCAAGGTGCTGCGAACATTTTGTTGGACTGCTCGCAGGCTGCCCTGGCCAAGTATCCACAACGTTTTATCTGCTAGACATGTTAAGCTCCTGGCAACCCACCGGTCAAGCCAGCTTCACTTTGCCAGAGCTCGGTGGTCAGGGAGGACATCAACCTCTCTACGTGTGTTTTGCCATGGATTCATGCTCTTACCAGGATTTCTATAATCGGACCTTTCTTCAGCTCATGGTTGGCACGGCCTGCTTGCTCGAAGGTATGATCCTGACCTCACCAGCTACCTCCGACACTTGGTGGAGTTGGTGCCCGGGTGAAGCTACGTGATGTGTTGGTGGTTCACCTCCTTTGTGCCCCACGTCACCATGCGCAACCCACGTCACCAAAATGAAGATGAAAGCCAATGTACACAAATTCGACTCCGCCGCAGCCTGCGAGTTCAATTCTTTTTATGCAGCTCTCCTTTTCTGCAATGTGGCTGTGGGTCAAAACCAATGGTACCATTTCGATGGCCATGTGCGAGGGGGGGGGGGGGGAAATACGTTGAGGTTGCATCAACGTGTGCATCCCCAGCTGGGGCGAGAAGAAGTCCATCACCCTCAGGAGCCGGTTCGGGCGAAAGAAGTGGTAAGGGTCAGCGTGCTGTCCTCCCGATTTGTCTCTTCAGATGCTTGCCAGAAGAGCCTAGAGAGGAAGCAACACCCAGCAAAATGGACTGGGGCAATGTCCCAAACTGCGGATAAGACAGGCGGCGGGGGGAGGGGGGGGTTCGTAGCATCAAGTGGGAAGCACAAGACCAAAGACCATAGCCAAATGGCACCTTACAAAACTGGAGGCAAACCGACAATGGAACATCACAAGTCGAACGCCACTCAGCCGGATCGGAGGGACAGGGGCTCACTCAGTTTCCCATGTCCTCTTATGTCCTCTTAGGGGAACAAGTCTAAGTAGTTTTGACCGGTCATGCAAGGCCACTAAGTTGCATTGAGGAAGTATCCACCTGAGAAATCCACTTGCCGCGTTTGCCGCGTTTGCCGCAAACCACCAGTTTGAGAGAGCGAGAGAGCGGGGGTTGGGGGGGAGAACCTTTCGCCCTGAGGAGTCTGATCGGTGCAGTGGCGTGCATGCCCAAGGCCCCGGGTTTGTCGGAAGCAACCGGCCACTCCGGGCGCCGGACGGGGGCGGAGTAGAGCCCTTCAAACCTGGGCCAAGCCGGAGAAGTAGAGATGAAGCGAAGATTTGCCTTTTTTATGAATGAAATAGCATTGAACCATTCACCATCTTGGGCTTTGAATGCTGACTGACACATGTCAGAGAATGAATCTCCGCATTTCTTTCAGAACCAGCCAATCAATGGACAGAGATATGGCCACATGGCGCATGCCCACAGCTCTTGTGTGCCCCGGACTCGAAGTCGTTGCGAGATCTCGGGGATTTGCACTGAGTCATGCGCCATTTGCTAAAGTCTGGCAAAAGCAAAGGTATGCTCCTTTGCTGCGGGCGAGCTGGCCGGGGGCAATTTCCCCAAGTTGATTTGAGCATCGGCCCCGCATGAGTGTGCTGCCTCGTCACCAAAACCCGACGCTCACCCCAACTTTCTTGCGGGGCGGCTTTTGCTATCCCTTGTGTCTTGGGTATTTTGGATTGTAGGGGGTTTAGGGTATTTGGATTGTTGGGGGTTTTGGCAGACCTCATTAGCAACTAGCCTTTTAAAGACAACATGTTTCAAGTCACCACACTCCTGCAATCGTTGCACGAGACAGAAGGACCTCTTGGTAGATGAGCCTCATTTTGGTTAGTCCGGGTACATTGAACCTAGGGCCTATCGCTCGAAGGCATGCGAGTGCCGCTTCCACGTGACTTTGGTGGATGACCACCACCGGGAAGAGATGCGGCAATTGTTACAGCGCCGTGGCAAGTTCAGCCGTCGGTCGGTTGGTTGGTCGGCTGAGCTCCCGCAAGCTTCCGCCGGGGATGCAAGTGACCTTTCTTGTGAGCCAATGCCTCAAGGTGCTGACAGCTTTCAATTGGTCATGGGTTTGCCGGAGGTTCTCGCTGTCTGGCCGTTCTGTTAAAAGGCATCAGTCGTTTTTGGCATCATGTTTTCTTTTGGGTGCCTTCGGCCTGAAGCACGGGGCCCAGACCGCCAGAGGCGACTGTGACCGAACCAAGGATCCTGACGAGGATCATTGAGGCGATTCCAGGCGAAGCACCCGGTTGCTGGGGCCCTTCAAGTCATTGCATTTTGGTTCTCAAAAATACTTTGAGGTGTTGCTTCTTTTGAGGGGCTCCGAGTTGCATTTGGGGCCAACCGAGAAAGTTGCCATGCTCAGGGTGTTGCTTTGAATGATCCAACATGTGTTCTTGGGGGTACATTGCGGCTGACAGCTCGGGGATTGTTTCAATTGATGGACGGTTGTTTTTAAAAGAAGTTTGTTGTCAGGGTCCTTGTTTTGGGTTGGACCATGACCGTTAGACAAACCATAGGAATTTCAGCCACAGCTGGTGCCATTTACTTTTACCAAGTCGGATCGGAATGCTACAGATGTTTTTGTGCAGAAGGTCTGGCAAGGTGTGCCTCCCAGACGCCAGGCTTCGATGGGAAGTTCACCACCGAGGAGAATGTGCGCCAGTTCTTTCACAATTGGGTTGAGGGAACGAAGAGAATTGCTGCTTGACAAAAATCACGTAGTGACTTGCTTTTATATAGGAGGAGTTGTTCCAACTGGACAGTGAGGCTGCTTCGGAGGCTTTTAGACATCAGGATCTGCCCATAGCTTCTGATCCAACTCCTCTGAATCGATTGATGATCTGGGACTCGCCACTGCCAGATGTATTCAAAGAAGCTGGCCATGGGGATGGCATGGACTGTTTGGCAAGTTACCAATGCCCATTGGCAACCAGCCAAGTGGCTGCAGAGGTCATTTTCTGGGCTCTCCGAATTGCACCAAGGATATCAGCAAGCTCCGCTCTGAGGAAGATGTGGAGAAGGACTTGTTTTCAGGGGAATTGACTATGGCACGGGTGAATGTCATTTTGAGGGAGAATAAGCTACTGCTCAGTGTCCAGTCTCTCAAAGGCCAACTGTCAAGTTTGCCCGCTTGCGCTTTCCTGTCAGGATGCAGCTGAATACCTGAGCCCCTTGTCAATACAGCTGCGCGCATGCCATGCTACTCATATGGCTGTGGGTCAGAACCAATGGTACCATTTTGGGGTAGGTGCATCACCCATTTTAGTCTATTTTAGTGGGGATTGGGATGTTCACTGGGGGTACGATTTGGATTTTGACCCGTGGCCATATGCCCAGCTTAGCCTCCCGGAAGGGCCATTGATCTGAGCCGAGGTGGACGCCTCACTCTGGAGACCCTTCGGGAAAACACCTGGTCGTGGATGGACCGGCGGTCGGAATGGGAGAGGTGATCGACTCTGCTGGTTTGCGTGGTGAGATTTCCGAGTTTGAGCCTTTGTGGTGGAAGCATACACTTTCCGGCAAACTGAAAAACGTGGTGCAGGTTGAACAAAGTAATGGTGACCTTCTCTCACACACTCTCGAGGTTACCTGGAGCTGGTGCTTTTGCCACCCCCTAAAGCCTTGCAACCTCACATTTACCTTCATTTGGGTAGGTGGCTTTCCTTTTGAGAATTAATTTCAAAGCGACAGAAAGCACACACTTTGCAGGATCCAATTCTTACCTGGGAGGATTTGAAAAGAAGGAGCAAGCCAACCAGAAAGAGTGGCCAAAACAAAAGCAACCAAAAAAGAGACACCAACACGCACACACACACACACACATGGATATGCGTTGAATTTTAGGGGAACCCCCCCCTCGAACCTAGTTTGTTTTTCTTCTTCTTTCTTTTTTCTTCTTTTCTCGAAAAAAATCGCTATGCTGAACGCGTGCCATCCAACAAAATGGGTTTCCTTTGGGTTCCCCTTTCGGCCGCCCCGCCGGGTGAGCTGCGGCCGGCCTCCAGGACCGGCGGCACCTGCAGCCCTTGGAGACGGCGGTGCAGCAGCTGCACCAGGCCTCGAGTTCGCCGTGCCCAGTTCACGGCGCGCCTCCTCTTTTTGTTTTTAGATGTTGTTTTTCCTTTTTTTTTCTCCTTTTTTTTTTGTTGTTGTTTTTGTGGGTGGGTGGGTGGATGGGGGGGTGGCGGGGGTTGGGGTGGGGTGGGGTGGGGGTGGGGTGGGTGGGTGTGCACAGTGCTTTCCAAGACAAACATGTCTCCTGGGAGGGTAAAGGAGCTTCAAAGGGAAATTCAGTGATTTTGTTTCCCTTAAAATATCCACAGAAGGGTACCAACTCCAAAGCACAAGGCCATTTGTTTTCGGAGCTGCTCATGAGTGTCGTGCTAGCGTTGGGAGGTATGGTCATCAGCCTTGCATTGTTCGACAACATATGCAAGGGTTCCCACTAGTTCGTTCCCCCTATTAATACATGCTCCCTATAAATGTCTTTTTTGTGCAGACTCCCAATACCAAATTGGAATTAGACAATACTAAACTAATTCTAAACGAGCAAATTTGCCACGATGCTCACTCCAGTCATATTTAGGGGACATTTGAGCACCAATACTAAACCGAGAAGAACCAATTTGAAACCAGCGTAAATCCAAAAGACGAGTTAGATTCTTTGGCCCATTTGGATGAGGACCGTAGCGGCACCGCCTGGAGCTGGTTGGACCCTGTTGGCAAATATCGCTTGGCCCCAGGCCAATGTATTTATTGAATTGGAAGGGGGGCCGGGTATCAAGCGCCCTTGCACACGCTGGACAAGCGAGCGAATACCATGGCCCACACAAGGAGTTTTGCCCGCACGGACGGGCCACCAAAATGGGAAAAGGAGACCCTGGTTTTGGGTGTTCAGCGGAAAGGCAAAGAAGCCGGTGCTATCTCCTTACATTCTCTATGGCAGGCAAACCTCACCGGTGTTTTTGCGTCGGACTCCCTTTTTCTGGAAAAACCACGGGGGCGTTTCCGATTTCTGGAGAAAGGGGGTGACGTCTTTTTGTGGGAGTGCATGGGTGTCCAGGCTCTCCGCAACACGAGCGACGAGGTCTTTGACCTCCACACTGATGCGGTGCCAAAGCCGCACACAGGGCTCTGGGGGGGCGGGGCTATCAAGAAAAAGTCCTTCCATCCCTTTCTGGCGGACCCGGCATGTTTGACTTGGGAAGCCAGGACTCGCTTAAACGAGAGTGTCAGTGGTCAGCTTCTGGTTGAGACTCTCTCTCTCTCTCTCTCTCTCTCTCTCTGTCATTGACCTTGAAGTCTGTTTGCCTCCCATGGTTTAATCACGGTGAGGCCATGAGCAGATAACCCTTCGCCGTGAAGGGACAACACCAACTTTGCAAAGGGCACCACACATGCCGACATGAGCAACGGAAAAGAAAGTACCATGTCGTCTGCTGCATTTGAGGACGGGGAAGGACAAGTCAATCTCCCCTATTTTCCGCTTTCCGACAAATGCCCTCTGAGTAAGTCATGCTGTCCGTTCCTCACCATGGTCAATGCTGACGCATGGTTTGTATCCCCCAAGGGCTCCTGATACGGTAGGGATCCTTCTTCTTCCAAAGTGCGTGTCTCTCCGCGTGGGCCGAACAGCTTCGAGACCTAGATTGGGATTTCGGGTTGCGCCAAGAGTGCCGGGGAGAAAGAGAAACTGGACTCGGGGTGCGGCATCTTGTTTGGAGGGAAGCTCAGAATGCCGAAGGAAGAGTAGAAGGTCGCCATTGCAAGAGCTGACGAAGGGATGGGCAGCAACAGTGTTGCGGGTGAGAGGTACGAGGACACATGTCAAAGCACTGGAAAAAAAACCAAGCTGTTGCGGGTGTGTGTGTGTTGCTTCCAAGCTTTGCGGCGGAAGCCATGTCCTTGAAGATTTCGAGCTCTGATCGTGTGCAATACCAAGTACATTGAAGAAAGCATCATTTGAAGAGTTCGAGTCGCTTTCAAGCATGCTAAGTTGGTTTCGTCTTTATAGAACCAACCGTTGAATCCTCGTCCTTTCGAGCATACACGGCGAAGTGGTTGCCAACGCCTCTCTTTCCGGTTCTCAGCAGGGAATGGGTTGGAATGACCCCGAACTGAAACATCCCTTGGAGGCTCCCTTTCGGTTCATTCTCCAAACCCGTGTAACAACCTTTTTCTGGTGGTTTCTTTCAAGAGGGTCCGCTTCCGGTTCATTTCCTTAAATCCCTCTTGATAATCCCCACTTCATGGGACCCGTTTCACGGGTTCCAAAAAAGCACGGGCCAATCATGTGCATGCGAATGGAACCCCTTTGTTCGACGACCAAACAGGGGACGAAAAAGAAACAGGGGGCATGGAAAAAGAATGCCAGGCTTGAAACGGTGCTTGCACTGGCTGATCCGAATTTTCGATTGCCCAGGTCACCCGACTAGTAGCCCCCAGAGAAAGGCTCCCCCCAAGTACCGAAATCGCAGCAATGGGTTCTCAGGAAATGAGTTGGAATGACCCCTAGAAAGCATTTGTGGTTCCAAAAAGCGCATCCCTAGGTTCATTGGCCAGATTTCCACATTCTGAATTCACCCCCAGTCGAAATGGCCATGGGATTCTGCAGGTTGCAGCCTGAAGGTGAAATACATCCCCCAGTCTTGAAAAAAACCACCAGAGATGGTTGTTACCCCGGTTTCCCACGATGTCAAGGGAATGAGCCAGAAGACGATGTCCACACGATGTGGCTGGTGCCATTTTGGGGTAGGTGCACCACCCATTTTAGAACCTATTTTAGTGGTTGGATTGGGATTTTGGACCCATGGCCATTTGCCCAGATCGGTTCGCTCCATTGAGGTGCAGGACTGGGAGCCGAAGGACCGCAATGCCCTGGCGCTGCGCGTGCACTACTTGGCCCGAGCCTCTGGCATTCGAAGCTTCGATTTGCGACCCGATGTGAGCCAACGCGGCCCAAGGTTGGATGAAGTGTGTCAGTTTCAGGTTGCCCGCAATTGGCGCGGAATCCTTGTTTTGGGTGAGTTTTAAGATCTTCGGATTGGGAGCCTGGATGTCTAAGACGTCTCCTTTCGATCTGTCTGATATTTATGGATTTTAAGGTAAATTACGGGTGCGCAAAGCCATTTCGGACCATCGAGCCTTTGAGGCGCGGTCCCGGCCGGAGGAGGACGAGCGCACCGCGCCGTGGCGAGAGGATTGGGTGAAGGCGCACGAGGAAGGCACTATCTTCACGCTTCTTTTTTTGGTTCTGTTCATTTGAAGAGGCAGGCTGCCAAGAACAGCTTCCTTTGCGTGCGTGTTTAGTCCTTTTCATTTGTGTTTGTTTAAAGTGGGACCTGGGAGGCTGCAAAGAAGAGTTTCCTTTGCTAGCATACCAAGGGTTGGAAAACTATCCTGGCAGTCTTTCAGGGAAGGATGGCTGTTTCCCCGCGAAGGCAAATGTCCCAATCTGGCCTCCACAAGTTCTGGTCTTTTTCACTTGCTGTTACCTTTGAAAGGTTCCCTTGGATAGCACGTTGCGGGGAGCTGACCGAGTGATGGGTCATAGCCAGGGACCAGCAGCTTTCAGAGTCTCTGGGTTCTTATTTTCAAACATGGGTTTTGGGCTGGTGCCATTTCGGTGCTTTATCACTGACTTCTGCATGGGATTCTCGTTTTGCTCACGCCTCTCACGCAATGTTGAGACTGATATATATATATATATATATATATATATATTACATATATATATATATATATATTACATATATATATATACATACGCATGTATGTCCACATATACCTGTATATATATATATATACATAGGTAGATACATGGGACAGTTCACTGCGGTTGGTGTTTACCTTTGCTAAGGTGAAGTCTCAGCACGTGGCCCCTGGCATCTACTACTACAAGGCTGGCCTCGTTTTCTCGCGCTCCGCCTCCGCTTAGCCAGCAGCATCTGCTTCCTGCCGCGTGAAAATCGTGCCCGATTCCTCTCGGAGAAATCGGATTCCTAGGTGCCGCAAACGGCGGAGAACAGCCAGTGGCTGCACGTCCGCAGCAAGATCAAAGAGATGGTCTATGGCCTGGAGGAGCAGGACGGGCGCTCCATGGCATGCCCAGGGCTCGGACGAGTCGTGGCGGATTCGAAGGAGTTGAGATTGAGACTGTGCACCAATTGTTCGTCTCTTTCCGGCGATTCTCCCACTCTCAGCTTTCCCTGGAATCTGGCCTGAACAGATTTAGGGGTGTTTGGTTGAAAGGACATCAATCGAAGGTGAAAGTCATTGTCATTCAGCTCCAGCCGTGGCTCTGGATGCTATATAGACATAGTGCGGAAGACTGTAGACCCATGCAGCACTTGTGCGTGCCTTTGCAAACGTGAAGGTTGCACGGGCGCAAGTGACGTGGTCATGGTTGCATTCGGGGATGCTGGTGATGCGGCCAGAAAGTATCATTTGCATTGCTTTGGTGTGCCGACATTGAGCAATCATGCCAGCAATCCCAAGCTTTTCAGGCATATCGCATCACTTGTCCAATGATACTAGGCCCTGCTTGAAGCAAGCAAAGCTAGGGCAGTAAACTTGGCTGCAAAAAATACACCATGCAAGCGCTTCAAGTCACTATTTGCTTGCCTTTTATAGGTTCGGGTGCTCAGCTAGAAGAGGACAAGCTCACGCACATAAGTCCCAAAACTCTGCGTCGCTTGCATGACCGACTCGCCTTTTCCGTGCAGGGGCCTTGGTGGACTTGGCATGTGTTCTGGTTGCAAACCCGGTGCGCTGAAATTGGTTGTGCCTGTGAGCTCGTGCTAAGCCAAAGTCTTTCTCATTGTAGGTTTCGTCAATTGCCCGACAGCTTCAGCTTTTGTTTCCGGGTCGTTCACTCCCCGGCTACGGGGCAAGCAGCTAATCTACATATATATATATATATGTATGAAAATACTCAACAAATAATAATCATAAGAACTAATCAAGATGTGAAGATGTTGCAAAACATATCATATGCAAAAGATGGGAGATGATAAGAGTTCTGTCTTTGTCCTTTCCCATTCTCTTTATTTGATATCAAAGACATGACAAGGAAAGATACTAACCTAAAAATTGATCAGATAGGCACAGCATACCAGCTGGAAAGAAAGAGGAAGTCAGATGGCATGTCTTTCTCTTTCTCTCGTCAGTTCCAAAATTCTCTTTACATGGGATTGTCAAAGACACCAAATCATGGATGTCAACAAAGTCATAGATTCATAATCACCATCTCTTGGCTAACAACTGGATGATACGTAGGTGGGTGAAATCTCGTGTCTTAATCAAGGGTTTTATCCTAGAGTCACAACGTAAAAGCCAGCGGGGCCGATCCGACGATGACGACGATGACGACGATGACGATGATGATGATGACGATGATCACGATGCTGGTGATGATAAAGATACACACGCATTCCCAGCATCACCCGAGCGGCCTGGTGTGACACTTGAATTCTGCTTAAGAACATGACGATGATGATGATGATGATGATGATTACCCATCACCGGCATCGCTAGCGGGGCCTGAGGACGACGACCAACTTACGATTTACTGCCAGCCTTCCCGAGCACCTCCCCGTTTGGCAAGAAGGGGTCGGCAGATACACGCATATATATATATATAGATATGTAAACACACATGTTCAGACATGTGCATATGCACCGATATATATATATATATATATCTAGAATATCCATAACACATACATACACCTGCAGGTAACAAATGCATGCGCATCTTTATGTATCATTTGGGAGAGCCCCCACCGGCTGTGACACGCACACCCAAACTTGGGCCATTTTTGTTTTTTTCGAAGGACTCCTTCGAGCAGTTCGTGCCCATCCACACCAGCCGCGGCCTGCCAGGGGCAGCTCGGACGGATTCGCTGCGCAAGCCGCGCGGTAGCCGGGTGGTGGTTGGGCAACATCCTTCTTTTTCAGTTTGTTGTTGTTTCCAGTGGCTTACCCGTGAAACACCACCATCATGTCGGTTTCAGCCAAATCTGACCACGATGGTGCTTCTTCAGACTTGGGGGTTGTGTTGTGTTTGCCATGAATCGAACAGAAACAACCAACCGCAAAAGGGTAGCCCTTCCTCTTCCCGAGTTTTTTACGAACGGATGGTGGGATAGGGGAAGCGCACGCGCTCCAAGAGTTGGCTTTGAACGCCAGTGACGTCAAATTACCATGCGTGTAGCTCCTCCAAATCATGAATCCCCATGCTGGTAGGCCAAAGGCGACACTGCTCAAACCATCAAGCCAAACCGAAACCCTGGCAGCAGGAGGGTTTTCTGAAGTGGCTCTCCGTGCAAATGTGAACACATTGTCAGTTGCACAACAGGACCATAAGGTCACGCAATTGGAGAGATGCTAGCATTGGAGAGATGCTGCGCTTGGCGGACACTTTGCCAGCAAACCACGCATCTCTGACCAAACGAGCAGCGTGGCTAGCCTTCGAATCCTTTCGTCAGGAACCAAGGCACTAAGAGCAATAACCCGCGTCGCTCTGCACCCGCATGAGCCATGAGGCATCAGAGAGGTTCGCTGGGGTAGTCGTTTTTAGATACACAATCAACAACACAGTCACATTCATACTCGGAAACATGCAGGCAATGCGATCTTTTTCCCCCGCGATCCCTGCATCTTGAGTTCTACGCGGGTCAGCATCCTTAGTGCTAAGATGTGCTTCGTGCTGAGATGTGTGCTAGCACGTGTTAGCACATCCTAGAGTGAAGTTTGAAGGATTCTCAGGGAGATGCTCTGCGAATCCTCAATCTCCAATCTTCAACACATGATGTGCTAATGGATGTTCTGAATCAAAGGCTAGGCCTAGGCCAACAGCCGAGTACTCCTAGAGGGGTATCGCACACACGTACATGTATATGTACATATGTATATATATATATATGATATGGGTTTGTCGGGTCGTCAAATCTGCAAAGCATTGTCATTCCTTGAGTTCTCGCGAAATCTAACGCTTCCCTGCCCGCGCCTTGGATGTTCTTCACAACCGCCAGCTTTTGAGGCCCTCAATGTTTCCTAGCGGTCAAAACCGTCAACGGGGGACCCTCAGGGCGGTGTGTTGAAACCAGGCCGCCTCTTGAAACCAGAAGACATGGAACTTTTCGAACGTGGAACCAACCGACCAACTTTTGGGGTGCGATGCTCAAGCCAAGCTTTGACGAAATGGCTTTGCTGTTTCGAACCAGAGGCTTCAAAGATCAACAAAAGACGCCATAAATGGCGTACCGCCTTTGCAGCGGGTAACTTGCTACACATTTGGATGAACTGAGAGTACTAGTGAAACGCGTCCGGCGGGTCAGCTTTTTTTGCCTCGGACGGCTGAGGCCTTGAACTTCGCAGCCAATTACATGCGGCTTGGCATGCGAGTTGTTGCGCGGCAGTCGGTGGCCCCTGGGTTTTCAGGTTGTGATGATGGGCGTGTCTTGAACTCGAGCCGTTCCGGCACACATAAAGTGGGCTGGGAACTTGCGGTTCTGTCTCAAGCTTCGCAAGGGGCCGAGTTGCAAGAGCTTGGGAGTTGGGAAGGCAAGGCTTTGGCCGAGTCTCTTTTGAAGCAATTTTTGCATTTCTACGCCCACTAAACATGGAACAGAATCATAGGTCATCTTGGTTGGAGGGCAAAAGCAGAGGTAGATTGCCTGAGTGGTGCAACAGCAGGGCAAAACCTGGAACAGAACCAGTAAGAAGGCACAGAGTTGCAGCCAAGAGTGCTGGGTGGGGGTCAACTGGGGCCAGTCCCCGCGGGCTTACTAAGGTCACAAATGATAATGGCAGAAACAAAGCAAGAGTCCCGTTTCGGCAGGCCAGTGACAAGTCGAGCAAACGGCGCACGTTGCGTTGCAGGTCAATGACCAGTCTAGCAAACATGGCGTACATTACGTTCAGATCCATCGTTGAACCATTAAGCATACGGTTCCAACTGTTCTCCGCTGCCATTGCTTCAATGTTTGGATCCGGTGCATGGCAAACCCGAACCCTGGGTGATCCAACTTCCATCACAACTCACAGCCAAGAAGACATGGGTGTGTTTGTTTTTCAGGAGTAGCCTTTTGTGGGTGGTTCCAGAGGAAGCAACAGCATACCAGCCATTTAGAACGTGCCGGCACATTCCTATCACACGCGCGTTTGTCTCTTGTGCGCGGTTCTCGAGGTATTTCTCCGCCGCCCGGCCACAGCACCTTGGCGGTGAGGGTTTCGGCAGGTTCCAAGATAAACAGGGTGGGTTGGTTTGATTTCAGGGGACGTTTTTCTTTTCCCCAACAGCTGAAGGCTATGTCGCGGCCGGGAGCAGCTACGGGCTAGGGTTCCAGAAGGGTCAGGGAGTTGCTGTTGGGGTTGCCTGTGTTAAGGGGAAACCAACAGAGAACCACTCACTTTTTGGGTCCCGGCCATTTGGAGAGTCCATGTTTCCCTTGGTTTAAACATCTAGTTTAGGTGAGTTTGCATTTGGTGCAGCGATGATTCAAGGAAAACATGGGGAATCCTGATAGATCAACGTTTGCAGTCAACGCCTCAGGACGTTTTTGGTACCTGAATACTAAACGCGGCTGTCTCCAAACAGTCAGAGTCAAGGACCCACACAGAAAACCAAACCTGAAAACTGAACCTCCAAACACCCACCCATGACTGGTTGGGGCTTGGCTTCTTTCTTTACTTTTCATGTGCCGCTACTTGGCCACAAGAAAGCTGCTTTTGGGGCAGCTTTCAATTTGATTCTCTAATTCACCAAAAAATGCTTTTCGGGCCAGTTTGACTTTCCAATTGGCTTTCTTTACTTGGCCGTGAAACCTGCTTATGCGGACGGTTTGAGCATGCTTTTCTGAATGGCCTCATCCCCTTTTTGTTGCTTTGCCTGCAAAAGCTGCTTTTGAAGCTTGCAATTTGGCCTTCGATTGGCTTGCCTGTACTTGGCCTCAACAGCTGGGGGAAGCTTGCCATTGGTTTTTCCAGTTGGCCGCCTTCTACTTTGCAATTGGACATTTCCAATTGGATCTTCCTTTGAAGCGGCGCCCAAATACCCCATTAGCCGTTGTCGTAAGTCGCTCTACTCCTGGCTTCATGCGGTTCATAGAAAGGCCTATAAGCCTATGATCCATGATACCCATGTTGGCAACAAAAGAATCAATGTGCTTTGAGCGCAGCTCATTGGGATTTTTCTTTGGGGGAAGACAGGCAACTGCAGGCAAAAGGGGTCATGTTTGCACCCTTCAAGAGTCTGTATGATTGGGAGCCTTCAGACCTCAGTACCCAGGCCACGCGGGCAATTTGGACATGAGTTTTGGCCACGCTTGCTTTGCATGTTTCGTTTTTTGGGCCGTCTGTTTGGCCCTATCTACAGTTTTACGTTCGGGTATTGTAAACTCCATTTCATTGTTTTAGTCCAGCAAACAGTCATTTGGCAGTAACTTTGTGGCCCGTTTTTTGCGCCTATGTTTCCATTCACATTTTCAGTTTTGCATGATGAAGCCACCTTCTATATTGATATCTGGAATCAGGGTTTGCCAGAACGAGCTGAGGTTTTTTGTTGTTCCATTCTTTGAGGCAGGACGCAAGCACACAAAAGAAAGAAGTTACGAGCCCCCTCGTTTGTCGCATGGGATGTGCCTCGACATCGGGGTCAAATTACGAGCTGACCTGGAGGTAGCTTGATGAAGGATCCTTTCTTGGGGTTGTTGGTGAGTCGTAGTCCTGTGCTTGGATTGCAAGTTTGACATGTTTAAGCTTTCCGGTTTTACAGGACCGTTTGAGGGCCCCTTTCATTTTTCCTTTGGATGGTGTGATCACCTTACCTGTTGGGCAAATCTAAGTCGAGTTTCCTTTGAGCAGTTTTGTTTCAAGGGGACACCTGGCATTTTTTTTTCCCCTTGGTGATGACCTACTGTAGGCCCTGGAAGAAGGTTGGCATTAGGTGCTTTGTGCTTGCCCAGTCGCCCAATGCCGATTTGAGGAACCTGTATGGAGATGACCGGGATGTGTCTCCTTATCTTTTCAGCAGCCCGGCAGCAGTTTATGGAGGGTGTCAGGGAGGGTGGGCCAGATTCTGCATTTGGCCTTCAGAGTTGCATGGAAGGGAATCAGCTTGCACTCATCTCGGCTTGCAGCTTGCTTTGCACAACGCGACGTCCACGCTTCAAGTCACTTGGCTTCAAACAAGCTGAGATGTCGACCCCTGCACCTGAGGTATTTGCGATCCATACCATCAATACCAGCCGGACTTTTTCCACACAACCATCCCGCTGTTCTTCGATCGCTCCGGTGATTTAAACGACGAGGCGGCGGGTGCCACTAGCTTGGATCGAGAAGCTTCATAGAGAAGGGGGCCAGACTCCAGATCGCTGACTCTTCCCGCCTTCGCGCAGGTTGGTTTCACTCAATGCCCACTGTACTTCCATGAGCTTGCTGATGAGCTGGACTACTTGGACGGCCCCCTGCTCAGATAGCTTCTGGCAAAACAGAAACAGTTGGATCGCAGGCAGCACCGAAGGACGAAGGAGCTTGCAGTATTTGAAGCAACCTTATTGGAGAATTGGATAAGTCAGGCAAGGGTAGGCTTTGCGCCGGGCTTCTCCTCTTCATTGGTTCATCTTCTTTTGTGGCTCCTAATCTGGGTCTGCTTATCCGAGGAAACAACGCCCAGTTTTTCCGCTTCCACAGCATGATCCAGAACTGCTGCGGCGGTTTCTCGATGGGGGATGGGGGATGGGGGATGGGACTTGCGGAGGCGATGGACCAGTTTTCAGTCACCACACAGTGGCAGACAGAAGGCGGGTCAAAGTCCAACCTTACCCAGACATGTCTTTGTAAGTCCCTAAATCGTATGAACCATTCTTGCTTTTCCTGGAAAATCATCAGATTTGCGCGTGCGTTTGAGTGCGCCAAGCACCTAGGGGTAACTGGTTCTCCACGAGGGTGTGGTGCCTTTTTCCCTGAAGGAACAAAAACACCTTTCGACCAGAGCCCACTGAGCAGCGCTCAAACTTTGGATCTATGGAGTCACCCAAGCGCCCTTCTTTTGAGGATGGTTCGAGAGAAGCACAAGTTAAGCCACCAGATTCAGGTCATCGTCCTTTCGCTATTTCGGCAGGCTGTTTCTGTTGGGCGGTCGTGGTCCTGAACCCACTGATAAGTAATTCAATTGCAGCACGTCAAATGCTACTCGTATTGACCCTTATCAATCACTTTTGAATAATCCCCCCCCAAGTGCTCGCGGCCGGGTCGTACTCGGTCGCTTCTGTGAGCTGGTTATCAACCTGATGTGGGGGCTCAAGGGTCCTACATACGCGGCTTCTCTTGATGGCTATACATGGTGCTTCACCGTTTGTTCCCCAAGAGATGCAATTGAAGCCAGGTTCGCTAAAGACATGCAACATGTCCAACGTTGGGCGCCTGATACCGTTTGACATTCACAGGAGCAGCCGTGCAGCAGAAAGACACAAGGGTTCTAGTTTAGCTGGCGGGTGCGCTAGTCGCCTGGTGGTCGTTTGTCGGCAAGAACCAACATCGCTGGTGTTTGTTGATTTTGCTCGAAGTATTTCACTGCTTGAAATGTGGTTACAAAAAGCTTGCACGGAGACGCACAAGTCTCCTGGCTTCCTACAGTAACTTGCCAACCAACCAATTCTTCTCGCCCGTCTTAGGTGTCAGTGCTTGGGACACCAATAGTACCCGGCTTCTGCACCGGGAGGACAGGTTGATGCTTGAGAGTTCCAGCCTCCAAATCCAACTCCAGCCTCTAAATCCCTTTTGGTTTGGTTCGGGACGCACTAAAAATGATCAGTGAAAGCCGTACCCTCCTGAACGGCGAAGCCAAGTGATTGGTAGGAATGAGCGGGCGACTGGCAGTGTGGTGGGGAGGCAACTTGCAGGTCGGAATCAGTTTCCGTCTCGGAAAGCGGAACCCGCCAGTGACATGCTTGCCAGCAATCCAACCACAGACTTCCTCCCCTCGGAGCCGAAGAGGCCGAAATCTCGAGCATTGCTCGCCGATCCACGTCGGTCATATGATGTACCTGGCATAGTCCCTGGTGTGCCGCTCCAGTGGCCAGTGGGCTCCTCAAAGTGCAAAGGTCTGTCTACCGCTGAAAGCAATTTCTCTGACCCCCTCCCACGAGCACACGCGGCTAGCACGGGCCACGCTAACACTGGGAATGATCGGAATGATGAATCAGTTTGACTGGTAGGCACGATTCGGGCAGCCAGGAGAGAGAGTAGTTGACAGTGGGTCTTTTGGCAGTTTCCCCCACTGAGGAATTCGGGAAACTGGGTTGGACCACTGCGAGTGGTTAGGTTTTCTTTCAGGTCTTTCGTTGCACACCAATGACTGGTCGGAGGAAAGGATTATTTTCGAGTTGCTTTCAAGCTCGATACACCTTTCATATCACCAATGGGTTCCTTCGTGAGCGTCAGGTTCCAGATTAGCGGAAGGGGTGTAATTTTGTTACCTCCTCTTGTGGAGAGAACTGCGATCCAAATCATCAGATGCTCGTTCGAGTGCCAAGAAGGACAGACGGATGGAGCTTGCGCTTTGGGATCATCCTCAAGCCTCGTTCACGGGTGACCATTTCGTTCATTGGTAGCCAAGACTGTTCAAGCAGGTCAACCCCCGTACTGACGTGGTCTCGTCGTCCGCGCCGTGTGGGAAAGAAACTCGCATGCTCCACAGTCAAGAACTAGGTTGTTCCTTGGCCGTTCCCCTATGAAGCCTATGAACCTGTCTGGGGAGGCCCATTTTCACAAGTTCCTTGGTTTCAGCCCCTTCAGCTGGGTGCCCTGGGAACGACGACCTTAGCAAGGACGCGGCTCTAGCTGGCAAAGACGTGGGTACACTTTGAATTCAGAGAGGAAAGAGGTGCTTCCCAAGCCTGCTCCAACGGCCCAGGGGGGGGAGGGAGGTTAATGAAGTCTTGATCCTCATTGGCGGCGGGGCTGTTTCGCTGTGTTCTTTTTCGAGACCTGCAGTTTATTTATTGAACAAATCAAGTGGTCACCACGCAAGCGCTCATTCTCTTGTCTTTTTCTCATGGCCTTGGTGTTTTGTGGCCTACCCCTGCAAAGATCTGCAGGACCAAACCATGATGTGGACATATGAGCGGAAGCGAGTTCGAGAAGCGGACCGCAAGAGGAAGCTGGACCGCCATGGATTCATTTTCTTTGATGCATCTTTTTACAAGGCCACCCCCTTTGCAGGCGTTTTTCAATTCAAAAAGACAGCCATCAGTTGCCCCATTTTGAGGCAAATCCAGGCACTCCATTTTTCTCTCCAAACACCATGAGCCAACCTCAAAGCCAACATGATGAGCTTTTATCTAACTTGCACCTGATACGTGAAGTCTGGATCATAAGTCTGGAGATGTCCGAGATGGTCTGACTCAAAGCGAGAGAGGGATTTTGAAGCGGGCGCACCACCTCCAGGCTTTTTCGGATGTCTCATTTAGTCATGAAAAAGTCGTGGTGTCCGTGAAGCCGTGAACTCTGGATGTGAGTCATCTCCGGTGTTCACTTTGGGAACAAGTGGACTCAGAGCTATGACCAAGGTCCCCTTAGTCGGTGGTTTGGTTTGGTGGCTTGGGTATTTGCACCCTTTGTGGAGGTTAAATGTGAAGCGAACCCAACCTCCCAACCACCAATCCAAATCACCAATCAGGGGGAAGCTGACAAGCGCTGCTGTTTGGAGCAGCCTTCCGTCCGTTCGTATCGATCCACGCCAAGAACAGCGCACCTGGTGGAGCGCAGATCTTTCCCAGAGACATGCAAGGCAGGGGACCAATGGGATCGGTGTGGGTGATACCTTGTTGTTTGATTCACAGGAGACCGAAGGGAAACCATGCATAAAGTTCTTCACTTTCAGGATGCGAGCTGCCTTTGGCCAACACACCATCAGAATAAATACCAGGAACACCACGTCTGCTGACACAATTCGACAAGCCACTGGTCTGTACATTTTGCCAGGACTCAACTGGGCCGGGGTCAGCAGACATCCCTACCAAGCTGTGAAAGAACCGCAGGGGCCGAACGTGATCATCCCCTCGACCCCACCCCACCCCACCCCCAGTTGGACACAGCTGCGCCGAGTCGATAGGAAAAAGCAGCACTTGAGAAGAATAATCCCAAAAACAGTGTTTGATGCCAGGCGACCAGCGCAACCGTGACCAACTAGTCACAGGGCACTTCCGAATGTCAGGCCCCTTCGAACGTGGCCTTTGTCTCATGGGGGCTGCGAAAAGTCCCCACCTTCGATTCGGAGCCTTGATGGGCCTCGCCAAAAAGAAGAGAAAAGCAAACCCCCCTGGATAGGTGGAGCACATTGCCAGCAGCGTGAACCAAGTCCTCAAGGGCCAGCACTCGCGATTTATCAACAGGCGGGGAATGCTGAGACCCCCGGCTCTCCCGGCTGTGTGGCCGTGCAAGCGCGAATGACCTACGGAAGACGAGTTATGATGACTGAACTGGGAGATCCTTGCGATTTTGAAAAGGGGACCAACATGACAGCCATTGAGAAGGATCCTTGCTTTCGACACAGCTTGCGTGGCTCAGCGAGACAAATGTCGATTCGCATGAAACAGGTTTATCCGAAAATGGTTCAATCTCAGTCTCCACTGGAAGGTTTTCCCAGCTCTGAGATAAGGAGGTCACATTACTCATTCAGGTGCAGGTTGGAAAGGGACTCTCAAGCTGGGACCTGTGACATGTCAACCCAGTTGCGGTGACTCTGGAGGTCTCACAATCACAGACTTGTCTCAAAAAATGTTGGGCCAGCTGTTGGAAAGGGGACCGGTTGATTCCAGCGTGAATCGCAGGTGCTTCCCTTTGGACAATGCCTTATGGGGAACACCAACCTGAAACCAATCCCACACCCAGCCCAAACGCCCTGTAACCGCTAGACTCACCCAAAGCAACCCAAGGCCAACCCTCAGCCAACCCTCAACGCACCCAAAGGCACCCGCCCAAAACCGGCCGAAACCCATCCCTTTGTGCCAACAGGCGCCTGTCCTACGGCATGTCCAGAAGCGGCACGGAGGCTTTGGCCTCCATGCAGCGGACGGCGGAGGGCTATGCGCGGGCCCCGGCCCGCCGCGGTATGGGTGTGGCTCCTGCGTTTTGTTTGATGGCTTGTTGTATTTTGATCCCTGGTGTAAAGCCCTCAAAGGTTCCAACGGGTGTTTTCTTTCGGAGTTGGTGCCTGTGTTTTTCTTATACAGGGCAACCAAAGAGGGATCAACAGGAAAACCCTGAGGGGTTGGGGGGTCTCACTGACTGTCCACTCATGGTGGGAGATGCTTGAAGTTGTGGTTAGGAATCCTAGTTGCAACAAAGCCTCAATTTTGACACATTGCCTCGGGTTCGTATGACCCTTCTTCCCCGACCTCTGAGAATCGACAGCTTTGGATTGTCTTTTCGAGAGGGGCGACCAAACATAGATGGCTACAGTGATAGAATGAAGTTCTGGAGCCAGGGGCAATTTCGGACCCTTGATTGAGTCCTCAAGGCTCGTAAGAATGGGAGAGCCGACTACGGGAAACCTTCGTTGGTTGCGGCGATAGTTGGCCAATTACAGCGGCCAATTGCCTCCTTGAATATCACCATAGAAGGATCCGATTCCGGTTCCAAAGGCCATCGCTCCGCGATGTGAGCAACTGAGTCACGCAAATTGCTGGGCAGCGTGCAGCACAGTCATTGCCAAAGGGGGAAAAACAGGTAGGCTATTGTTTGTTTGGGTCTTGATTGCTTGGGATCGATGGAAACGGCCATTCACAGGTTATTGAAGCATCATCTACTGCAACTATAGACAACTCATTTCAAGGATCGTTGTCAAGGGAACCATGGCCATCAACGAATGTTGACCTTGAGGGCCTTCTTTGCAGGAGCCCTGTTAGCATACGCATCTTCACGCGCTTCACTGCAAAAACCTAGACAAAGCCTTCCGCAAAAGGAGGAAGGATGCATGCCGATCATGCTTTAGCTGCTAGGATTATTAGTTGGCAAACCGGCCACCATCTACGTTGGGGGCAAACTATAGAGACCTCGCAGAGGGGTCGCAAGTCCTCACCAATGATGAAAGTTCCTTTTGCGTTTTTTTTTTTGGGGGGTTTGATTTGAGCAGCTTGGCGAATTCTCAAAATCGCCCAGTGGCTGAGAGATTTTGCTCCGAGGTCCTCTTTTGGCTTCAGTCCTTCTTTGGCCGCAGACAGGCCAACGAGGGCGCACTGAGTATGAGAGCCAAGCTCAAACAGAGCCACAATCCAAACCTGCATGAAGGGCAGTGCAGTCCCAATCAACACTTGATGCGGACGTCCTTTGAGTGAATACACTTCAATGCCCATACATCTACGCACAGGGTTTGTAGTGAAGAATCCTCCTGTCAATATGTCAAGCATGGACCAAATCAAGAGAAGCAAGAGTGGAAACTGCGCATTGGTGTTCGAGCCACCCCTAGGTTTTGCGTCCACAGCTTGTGGCAAAACTGACCATGGAACCGATGGCTAAATTGTGAGGACGATCTTTCAAGGTAGCCGGCATGGAACAAACCATTCCAGCAGGGGCCTGCTTGGGCAGAATGTGCTCATGTATGGTCAATTTGGGAGGGACATGCGGGGCTCATCGATTTACCACAAAAACCAGGGCTTTCGGCTTTCTTGTGGTTGCTTAGAAAACAGCAGTTCAAGCTTTTGAAGGCGTTCCCAAGAAAGCAACTTTTTCTTGCGGGGGGAGTCGGTAGTCGGGCGCTGGCAGGCCTTTATGCTTTGGCTGAGCCTGATCTTCTTTGTGTTCTTCGTGGTCTGGTTGTGCCTGGCACTCAGAGAAAGATTTCCCACGCGCGAGCTGGTGGTTCGCCGGCGCGTGCCAGGCTTTCTTGTCAAACGGGGCGCCAAAATCTGTTGGGCTCCTTGAGATGTTTGGGATCCTACTGGTTTTCTTTTCGTTTTGGTTGATGGTTGCCTGAAAAGGGGGCCTCTAATTTGACCCATTCGCGCCGAAGCTGACGCGACGAGGCATTTTGGTGGGCAACATTTCGCAGGGCATGCTGGTGGTGGAAATGGGCGTTCTCCAGAAGAATACGATCGAGCTACTTGGCTCCGCTTAGCACTGAGTCAGGCGAGCCAAGCCGTGTCCAAGTGGGCAGATACTCAATTAGAGCATCCGTCCAAACCTCCAATTGGATGTGCTTTTTTTGAGGGAGGGTTGGTTGAAAGCGGCACTTTTGGCCGCATACCGACTTCAAAGCACCAATCCAAAGGATCCAGCTGACCGTGACACCTTACCGTGCCAGTGAAATCCTGGAGCCCATGGTGGACCTCTTCAGAAACTTCGTGAATATGGTCGGAAGCATCCCGACGACATTTGGTTGTGCGTGTGTTTGTTGTTTCGAGGTACGCGGTTCAGGTTGGTTTGAAGGGAAACAAAAGGAAACCCACCTTTTGTTTCATTTCGGTTGTGCCTGGATGTTTCAGGGAAGGTCTGTAATCCTGTCAACTTGAGTTAGTATATACTGTTCGCAGCTAGGAACTTGGTAATCACTAGGGGCTAATCCTATGGGTGCACCACCAATTGGGATGGTCATTCAAGCATGACATAGACATTTTGCTTCTCCTGGAATGGAACTGCACTGCAGCTTTGGTGCCACCTTTCTCTCACACATGCATGCACACCGGGATATTTTTGCAGGGTCACCGTTTGAACTACCTTTCGCAGGTCGTCTTTAAATCACCCTTTGCTTGCCCATATTGATTAAGTGTTCTTTGGGTGCAAGATGACACTTCGGGAGTTGTGTGATTGAACGACATGCCTTCAAGGGGGATGATGGGCTTAAGGGCATGTGCCGTTTCGCCTGGTGCTGCGAGGCAACTACTTTGGCAACAAGCCCAGCCTGATCAAAATCTACGCGCCTCGGCAAGGCGCAAGGTGTCACAGAAGCCTGGGCAATCGGTCTAAGACCTGGCATCACATCAGACTCCCGGTGCTCGGAAGGGACTTCTTTTCTGGTTAGTTGATGAGCGAGGCCACCATGGTAAGAGTCCAAGATCAACAGGGCATTTGCCAAGGCAACATCTGGATGGACACTGATTGACTGCATCAGTCGCTTTGAACAGCACAACAGCACAGCCTCGTGGCACTGCGGCCGATTCCCTGAACTTTGCAAGCATCAGCCACAAACCGAGAACAAACTGGGACCCTCCCTGGCATGGAATCTGGCATGGAATCTGGCAGGAATTCCTTTCTTGGAAACCTGTAAAAAGGTTCCATGTTACTGGGTGGGGGGGTACAGTACTTGAGGAGGCAAGCGATATAGTACACCGGTGAGTAGCGCTGGATAGAAGCCACAAAAGCAAGCCAGACAAATGCCCCCCTAAGTGGGGTCATGGGTCGCTAGTCTGACGCATGTGCTTGCATGGGTTCGGTAGGATGGTCACCGATTCTGGATGAAAGGCACCATGAGCATTCTCCCGAAGGCATGGAGTTTTTTTGACCATGTCACACGGTCGTCCACGCCATCCAAGCAAATAAGCGGTCGGTGTTTTGTCCTTGGCTTCGTTTGGGCGGGTTGTCAAACGTATGGGCGTTTTTGGACCCTGGTGCCGCCGAGGGGACACCAAAAGAGGGCCCCTGATGGTTTCCTTTGCCATGGCGACTGGGCGTGGGCGACTGGACTTTCCCGAGGTCACGACGGCGGTGGAGTTTGCGGTGTGGCTCGGAGGCCGCTGGTCCTTTTGCGATCCCCGTCCTTTGGTGCGCTTTTTGTTTGCCTACTCCGCACCCCCGAAAAGATGGAATTGGGGAGGACGACTCGCACTTCACTTAGGTTGTCCAGCATGGGGCCCCTGTTAAGTTGGCTCGCATGGTAACATGTTGGGAGAGTGGCCCCGGGGAGTCTGCCACACTTATGGGCGGAACATCACACATGCATCACTTTGGCACTTATTCGGAAGGAGGAGAAGGACATAGTAAGATAAGGAGAGACAGAGAGAGAGAAAGAAAGAAAGAAAGGAAGAAAGGAAGGAAGGAAGAAAGGAAGAACGGAAGAAAGGAAGAAAGGAAGAAAAGAAGATAGGAAGAAAGGAATAAAGGAAGAAAAGAAGATAGGAAGAAAGGAAGAAAGGAAGGAAGGAAGAAAGGAATAAAGGAAGAAAAGAAGATAGGAAGAAAGGAAGAAAGGAAGGAAGAAAGGAAGAAAGCAATAAAGGAAGGAAGAAAGAAAGAAAGAAAGAAAGAAAGAAAGAAGGGAAAGATAAGGAGGAGTAAAGAGAACGAGAGAGAGAGAGAGCCGAGTTTTGTACTATCGGGCTAAGCCATGGACTGTGCTTGCCTTGGTCACAGGTCTCTCCATTTGCCTCTTGGCGCTTTTCCTCGTGACGGAGTGTTTCAAGGCTGGGAGGTTTGTATGGAAGAGTGGAGGATAAACGCAAGTTCTTGACCCTACAACTTGTTTTGGTTCTTTGTGTTTTGGTCCCCTCTTTAGTTCAATCCTTTTGGTTACCTTGCTGGCTTGTGACACACGATGCCAATCCCAATCTCAGACAGCAAGCGAATGACACCAAGCTCGTTGCAAGCGGAGGCATGCTCGCCGCTTCTTCGGCTTTCTCAAGATACCTGCATTGTCGACGTGTCTTTTGGGTGGTGTCAATTGGCTAGAAACATCGGGATAAATCTGGGAGACACTATGTAAATCAGAAGCCATGCATGTTCCAATCACGTTGCCGCCAAGCATTCTGAGACCACTTCGCCTCGATTCGATAGGCGTTCACGGCCTGTGGCCTGTGCTCCTGTTTCTCCGTGCCCAATGAGATGCGGCACTGGGCCAGGCGCGGTTTTTGGGGTGGGGAAAACGAGGCAAACATATTTTTGGCCAAAGGGGGCGTTTTCTTCACTAGGATTTTCATTAAGTTGGTTTCCTTTTTTTGGGCGTTTCTGACCCTTTAGGATGTACTGTCAAGGAGCTGACCTGTGCTAACAGACCGGGGCGGCCGTCGGGAGCTGACTCCTCCAGGTTGCATTCCGGAAGCTCAAATTCCAAGCTTGGGAGAGGCTAGTCCTCAAATCCCAACGTCGGCTTGGGGGAATAAAAAAGAGTCTCGTCCACTTTTGAAGGGGGATTCCACTGAACATCGTGCATAGTTTGCTGGAGTAAAAGGCCGATCTCCAGTGTCAACCTGAGATCTTGGGGTCATCAGCATCAGCATCATCAGCATCACCAGCATCATCAGCATCACCAGCATCACCAGCATCACCATCAACACCAGCATCATTTGCGGTATGTGTGGATGGATTTTGGTTGGGCTTTTGCACGGGATCTGTGCGCTCGGGCAAATGATGCTGGTGATGCTAGGGATGTGGCCTCTCTGGTGCAAGGCAACCAAAGTGGGGATATCAGGGATGCAGGGGTGCCATGCCACCAAATGGCAAAGCAATAATGTTGGGGCCTTAGATGACCACTCCCCAGGTGAATTAGCACAAACGAACACAGTACAGACAAGCGGACTGATGTGACAGTTAAGAGAGCCTCCATCTACACACTCGACTCTGCAAATGAAACGCGTGCCTGGAAGCCAGACCAGGCACGTTCGTGAAGGTGCTAGGCCCCAAAATCTTGAGAAGGGAACCACACCAATGGGAAACTCGCAACATTTCGGACATCCACACTGGCCTGCGAGGCTGCTGATTCGTGCCTCGGCAGTCGGTTCGGGACAAGGGCCGGTTTTGTGCTGGGACATGAGCAACAAGCCGCTTATTTGGGGTATCGGGGGTCTGATATCTCCCAAACAGGGCTATATTTCGGACATGTTATATGAAATAGTGTACCTGGATGCGGGGCAATGCGTGTAGCCCATTCCCGAATTAGGGACATCTCCCTATTGATGCGTCAGTTCTGAAATCTGGGTCACCATTCTGGATATTGACATGTGGTATGACAGGCAGCAAAAACCCACGAGCCGGGATGACTGCGATGACTGGGATCATATTGCCACTCAGGCATGCACCAGACTTCGCACTGGGCTGCCTGGTCGCAGTTATGGTGTGCCTTTTGAATCCCCTTCTGAACCACCCCGACACAGAGTACCAGGCCGGTTCTGTTCAGTGGGGTTAACGGACTCATGCGCCATGTGTCATGGTCGAAACATCTCTGGTTCCGTGGGAGTAGATGGACTCCATGATGAGCACGTTCGAGGCCATTGTGCGCCGGGTGTCAAAGCCAGGCAGCGACACCTCTACACAGCTTTTCGGCTGAGGGGTTGCCCGCCCGCCCTCTGCCCTACGAAGAGGGAGATTCCTGCTGGGTCTCCTCTGTTCCCGCCTCGCCTTGGTGTCTCCTTTGGTTTTCTCCAGTTTCCTCTTGGTTTCTCTTGTGTTTACTGTCAGCTTCAATTTTCCTCTTTGGCTACATTCGCTTTCCCTCTTGGTCATTCAATAGCCCTCTTGACTTGGTCTCCCTTCAGGTTTCCCTTGGTCTCCTGGTGATTTCCCTCTTGGTCTTCCTCTTATTTCCCTTTTGGTCTCCATTCCATTTCCTTCGTCATCTCTTGTTTGGTTCCTGACAGACAGATCGGACCTTGTGCTGAGGTCTGGGGCTGGCTGCCCGCATTCTGGATCGGCCACGGACTCGGATTCCACCAAAAGGGCTTTGGCCTGGGGAGCTTGTTGGACCCTTTTGGACCCTTTTGGGAGTGAATCTTATTGAGGGAAGCACCCGGAAGGGTGATTTTGACCAGGTTCCTTCTGAAACAACCAGGCCGACGAAGAAAAGGCAATCAGCTTTTGCACCCTTTTCAAGCGCAGCGCGAAATGGGTGTCTATTTGTTGAGGTCACTCTGTTTGGGGTTGTTGCAAAGGAAGCTAAAGGGAAGCCACCCCATTTTTTGGGTCCACTACTTTGACAGAAACCCATTTCAAACTTGGGGTTAGGTTGGATTCGGCTAGGTTCGGTTGCCAACGCCGTTCGGGGTCGTCCCAAAATATGACATGGACGTCTACGATATGGAATCCTCAAGAAGGCTTCCCTTGTAAACCAAGTCCAAATGCGAACCAAGTAGAGGTCCAGTTACGGCTCTTTGGACCCCTTTTGGAAGCGACCAAATCAACATGTTAGGTCCCGAACAGAGCTCTAATTTTGACTGAAATTCTGGCAGCCATCATATACAGTTATCATATACCCTTGACTTTGACCGCGGAGCATGGATGCAGACAGCCATACCTTGCCACGCATTGAGCTGAGGATTCAACTACTGGAACGTCTTCGCCGACCAAACTTATCACTTCAACTGCTTTGGCATGTTCCTCTTCATCGTGATCCTGCAGGCTTCTATGTCCTGACTTTTGCCACCTTTCACATGCCAAGTGCCACATCCGACTCTTGCTTGCCCTAGGCTTATATTTCTCGCGAACTCCATCGAATCCGCAACAGGTCACTTCTTGCATTGTGTTTCACCTTAAGGTTTACACGAGCCGCTTGACTGCTTGGTCACGGCTCATGGATCGATTGCCCACAGGAGACAGCCCCCCACGAACGGGATGGGAAAGCTAACCTCCCAAGGGGAAGGAGCCCAGAGGGGAGCTTCCATCGGGTGGGTCATGCAAATTCCCTCGTGCTGACTTACCCGAGCCTTGCTTGGCCGTGTGATCGTTTGGGTTGTCAAAGGTGGGTCATTTTGTGGCGCTAGAGGTGGGGTTCCTCCAAGACCCATTGATTTTCCTCCACTCATGGTTCACACTGTGCTTACAGGCTGATCAGCTGATCAGCCCCACCTCTAAGATGGAGCCCACTCCTCAAAATGCGTGTTTCGTCGCTATCAGCTCCCTCATTTTGTGAACGAAACAAAGAGACGGCCAAAAGCCGCGGCTTTTCCTTTGGCAGGTGTTGAACTGGGGCATGATCGTCTCCGCCTCGATGCGTAGCTCCTTGGCAGCCGCCATGGAGACCAACGAGGTGCGGAGGGCGTGCGCTCGCCTCATGGGCGTCATTGGGTCGCTGGTGGTTTCCTGTGGTGTTTGGGGGTGGGTACCAGGTGGATGATGGGGTACTACCTTGACTGGCAAAGGACAAAGCGATTGCGGAATCTTCTTTCTCAACGAACAAAAAAACATGGGTGGAATTTGGTCGGTCTTTTTGGGGAGCTGATGGAGCTGGAAACACCCCCTTGGGAAATGACCCCCAAAAAAGGTCAACGATATCATGCTTTGGTCAAGATTTTAACGCCTCCGGCTCAGGCCGCCGACATTACAGGCTTCTTTCTTATTTGCGTCCCTTTGGAATTGTGCCCTTGCCCGCTTCCCCTCTAAGATTTTTGCCCCCCTTTCCCTGTTGAGATCCATTCCCCCTTTCCCCTAAGTCCCTTTCTCCCTCTGAGATTGTTTTCCTTTTCCTCCCTAAGATGTTTTCCCCCCTCTCCCTGTTGAGATCCTTTCCCCCTTTTCCCCCCTAAGGCCTCTTCCCCCCTGAGATCTTCTCCCTTTTCCTCCCTTTCCCCCACTTTCCCCCCTGAGGCCTTTTCCCCCCCTGGGATCTTTTACCTTTCCTCCCTGAGATCTTTCCCCCCTTTCCCTGTTGAGATCCTTTCCCCCCTTTCCCCCCTAAGGCCTTTCCCTAAGATCCTTTGCCCCCTTTACCTGTTGAGATCCTTTCCCCCTTTCCCCCCTAAAGCCTTTTCCCCCCCTGAGATCATCTCCCCTTTCCTCCCTAAGATGTTTTCCCCCCTTTCCCTGTTGAGATCCTTTCCCCCCTTTCCCCCCTAAGGTTTTTTTTTCCCTGAGATCTTCTCCATTTTCCTCCCTAAGATCTTTTCCCACCTTTCTTTATTGAGATCCTTTCCCCCCTGTCCCCCCTAAGGCCTTTTCCCACCCTGAGTTCTTCTCCCTTTTCCTCCCTAAGATCTTTTCCCCCCTTTCCCTGTTGAGATCCTTCCCACCCTTTCCCCCCCAAAAGCCTTTCCCCCCCTGAGATCTTCTCCCTTTTCCTCCCTAAGATCTTTTGCCACCTTTTCCTGTTGAGATCCGTTCCGCCCTTTCCCCCCTAAGGCCTTTTTTTCCCCCATCGATCTGATCCTTTCTGAAATGGTGCCCCTGGGGAGGGGTAATGGGAGGGGGAACAGGTAAAGAGGTAAGGAGCATTCCCACCCTGAGTTCTTCTCCCTTTTCCTCCCTAAGATCTTTTCCCCCCTTTCCCGCTTAAGATCCTTTCCCCCGTTTCCCCCCTAAGGCCTTTTCCTCCCAAGATCTCCACCCTTCTCTTTTTCCCCCTTTCTCGTTTGAGATCCTGTCCCCCCATTGCCCCCTAGGGCCTGTTCCCCCCGAGAAAGATTTCCATTTTCCTCCCAAAGATCTTTTCCCCCTTTTCCCCCCGAAGGCATTTTTTGCCCAGATCTTCTCCCTTTCCTCCCTGAGATCTTTCCCCCCCTTTCCCTGTTGG